TATAGATTTTGTTTTCTGAAGAATAAATATATATATATATTTTTTTTTTTAAATTTTTGTATGAACAAATTTGATTGCTAAAGAGTTGTTGGATTTTTCTTCTTTTTTTTTTTGTAGCCTGGTACAAATGGTCAACATGCATTTTATCAATTAATTCATCAAGGTACAAAATTAATACCATGTGATTTTATTGCTCCAGTTGAAACTCATAATCCTATACGTGATAATCTTCATCATAAAATTTTATTAGCTAATTTTCTTGCTCAAACCGAAGCATTAATGCGTGGTTTAACTGAAGAAGAAGTTCGACAAAGTTCAAATACAAATGATGAACTTCTTATTTATCATAAAACATTTCGTGGTAATCGACCAACAAATTCATTTGTTTTACCACGTTTAACACCATTTATATTGGGTATGTTAACCGCTGCATATGAACATAAAATATTTGTTCAAGGACAAATATGGAATATTAATTCTTATGATCAATTTGGTGTTGAACTTGGTAAACAATTAGCAAAAGTTATTCTACCAGAATTAGATGCAACTCAACCTGTTACGGCTCATGATTCATCAACAAATGGTTTAATTAATTTTATTAATAAATATAGAAAATGGACACCAACAACAAAATAAACAATAAAAACAAACATTCATTATAACTTCTTAATATAACCCTTTAGTAGATCCATTTTTATTTTATTCTATTTTAGAAATAGGAAAAAAAAACGAATCAAAAAATGAGAAACTTCTTAGGTAGTGAATATAATATAGAAATATATAAAATATTAATTTGGACAATATCATGTCGAATGATGAGATATGGCTTGTGATCGATCAGTTTTTTTGAATAGTCATGTTTTTTTTTGAATTGAATTATTCCCTTAGATTGTATTACAATCCTTATTGTTTCTTTCTAATTCTAATATTATTATTATTATTACGTTCTATATTTAGCTAATAAAGACTAGTCAATAAAAATAAATTCATTTCTTTTAATAAAACATGAACTATATAATAATACTTTAGATTAATAATATTTTTTATAATCTCGAATAATCTAAATGGTAAAATTAAAATAAAAACATATATAGTTTTTTTGTTTTTTTTGCTCTTTATTTCATTATTATCCTCTTTAATATAGAAACCCATTCTTCTTCAAGCACATGAACGTTCCTTAACTAAAATTTGTTATAATCGTGAAGGTGATCTTTTATTTTCAGCTGGTAAAGATAAATTTCCATCTGTATGGTATTCAATTAATGGAGAACGTTTGGGTTCATATAATGGACATAATGGAGCAGTATGGTCTATAGATGTTAATTGGAATTCAACAGCATTTGTATCTGCATCCGGTGATAGTACAGTTCGTGTTTGGGATGTTCAAACAGGACGTGAACGAAATCTTTATCAACTTGATACACCATGTCGTTGTTGTGCATTTAGTTATGATGGAAATATGATTTTATATACAAATGATGATGTTATGGGTAAACCATGTGAAATGTATTTAACAGATATTAGAATACGACGTATGTTGTTGTTAATTTTTGTTTGTAAATAAGTTTTTTTTTTTTTTTTGTCTTTTTATAGCTAATGAAGGTTCATCAGTTCGTATTAATATAACACAAAAAGGACTTCGAAAAGTAACAAGTAGTTTATGGGGTACTTTAGATGAATTTATTGTAACTGGTCATGATAATGGTGAACTTGTTCAATGGGATATTAAAGTAGATATTGATTTCTTTTTTTTTTTGTCTTTTTTTTTATTTTAGTTTTGATGATAATCAATTATTTTAGGCTATGGATGATGTACGTAGAGAAAAACCACATCAAGGACAAATTATAGATTTACAAACAAATAAAGATTTAACTTTTCTAATTTCATCATCAAAAGATTGCACAGCTAAAGTAAACTTATTTTATGAAAATTAAAAATTTTGACTATACAACGGGATATATATATATAGGTTTGTTGAGAACGACATCGTCTATCTAATGGTGTACGTATTATCAGATGCTACTGGGTCTGCAGAAGTGAACAAAAGTTAACAGGATCATGTCATATAGAAGTTATGAGCCAATAAAATGAAAATTCTATGTTTTTTTAAACTATTTTAAAATAAGAAATATTGTCCCGAGTAAAGGACTGAACAACAGCCTGGATCCGTGGATTTTCGCCAGGAATCCATAAGAAAGATGTCTCGTACCTCATCCACTTGAAAGTTTATCAACGACTTAAATAAATTGATGAATTCTCTTCAAAAATGATCAATTCAAAGACTGATTAGATCAAGAAATACTTCATAAAATCTATGAATTCATTTTGAAAAAAATTTTAGAATTTATAGAAGAAATCTGAATTGCGATAATATTTTCTCTCAATAAATCGACTGTCTTTTCTGTTCGTGTATTGTCTAACTTTTAATTTTTAGTGTTCATGCTGAACCACCAAATGAGAACGTGCAGAATTAAAATATTCTTATAGCATTTATCTGCCTAGGAACTTGATCAATTTAATTAAGAATTTAGTATAAATTGAAAAATAAAAAGTTGAATTTCTACAGATCAAAACAAAAAATCAATTGAAGACTCAACATAACTTCGCGAACATTTTATTAAACAATACTTAAAGATTATTTTCTCAAGTAACAGATACCTATTTCAACTCAACTAATACGAGTTTCAATTAGTGAAAACTTCAATGCAACGTCGAGCAAATCATCAACATAATGAGAAAAAGATAAAATGATGCTTGAAGTTCCTAGAAATAAATTTCATCACAAAAGACATCTATTAATAGTTCTTTTGGTATTACAGTAAACGAGGATGAACCATAAACTTGTGTTTGGTTCACTTCTGACGACCGTTCTATTGCGTACACTATTAGATACAAGAAGTTTTTCTTTACAATTCTATTCCTTTCTGCAGTCAGAAACCACTGAAAAACTTATAATTTCCTTTGAAATAACAAAAACAAAGACTTTCTCCTATTTCTAGTTGTTTGATATTGAAACATTAGAACATTTAAAAACATATACAACTGAACGTCCTATTAATTCTGCAGCAATTTCACCACTTAAAGATCATGTTATACTTGGTGGTGGTCAAGAAGCTATTGAAGTATTTAATTTTGAATAATGTTTCAAAGTTTTTTTTATTATTGTGAATTATTATTTAGGTCACACAAACTGCAGTCCGAACAGGTAAATTTGAAGCTCGATTTTTTCATTTAATATTTGAAGAAGAATTTGCTCGAGTAAAAGGACATTTTGGACCTATAAATACTATCGCTATACATCCAGATGGAAAAAGGTTTGTTAAATAAATATATTTTTTTAAAATTTTATTTTCTATATTGATATTTTATTCTAGTTATGCTAGTGGAGGTGAAGATGGCCTTGTACGGATACATTATTTCGATAAAGATTATCTTGATTATGATGTTGTTTATTAAACCTTGTTTTTTTTCTTGTTTATTTGTTATTGTTATAAAACAGTATAAGCACAAAAAAAAAAGAATAAAAAAAGTCAAAATATGATCATTGTTAAAGTACTTCTCTTTTTTTTTTGTATATAATCAAGGAAGATTTTGTGTTAATTTCCGTTAAGTTTTTTCCGAGTCTTTCTACTACTCCTTCCTGCACACGACTGAGAATAGAAGACTATTCACAAGGCATAGTAGAAGGTTGTGGGTCTTTCAAAAGTGTTTTTTGAATATCCAATAAATTTCTTGAGGTTTTATCATCTATACCCCAGCTGTTAAGTAAAAAATAGTAATCTTTTGTAATAACAATTACTATTTTTTCTAGTAAAAAAAGTGTTTTTCTGACACTTAGTTTCAAAAAACACTTATTTGAAGTTGGAGATGAGGTGGAATATCCATAAAAGAATCTATGTAATTCAAACCGAACAAAGATACAACATGGGAAGTGTATGACTTTTTATGGGGGGGGGGGGGCTCTGAGCTAAGATTAAAATACCTAACGCTGCTTTCCTACAAAGAAAATCCTATAGGAAAATCTTCTAAAATATTTTCGTAAATTTCAAATGTTTGATAAAGAATTATGTTATGTGCGCAATAAATAATATAAATACTGAAAGCTAACGGTATATCGATGTGCTATAATTAGCATACAATCCTTTGACAAAATATAAAATTTTAACTTGATGTAAAGAAAGAAACCAGTGAGTGTTTATTGATCTGTGTCGTGATATTAAATGAATGTATATAGAGGTTAAATCAATGAAATGAAGAATTTGTCTTCAATAGTTATATATTCTTGGAAATGAATGAAATACTATCGATTTTGTATCAATATAATAAAGCGAAGAGTAAATAGCGAAATAAATAATTTGAATTTATGAGAGACGGTACAAAAACTTTTTTAGATTGAAATAAATATGGAAAAAAGTATGCATCGATGTTTCACTGGTTTGCCAGATCGAATTGATCGTGTCATCATTGTTCTGATCAAAATCTACGAGAATTCATTGATCTATTACATAATTCAGTGTAAATTTTATTTAGAGAAAAAATATTTGTCATATACAATTGCTGAATTTAATGATCTTTTATAGATTCGAAGAAAGAAAAAAAAGTATAAAATTCTAACTTTTATGAATCATGATTATGTATGCATTTGAATTCATTCTTTATGTAGATCAAGACACTCATTTCTGTCTGATATGATTTGTCATAATGCCTAACGTACTGTTTTTTTGCTTCATATGTCTTCACATTTCGTAGAACATTTTAATTTTCTCTTACAGAATATAATAATTTAATTACTTATGTCTCTTGAAATACGCTTCTACAAATTCATATCGTCTAATTCTTGTTTTTTTTTTCTTTGTAGATTTTCTTTTCCACTTTAATCAATGTGTCTGTATATCAGAATGTCAATTGATTCATCTTCTTTCTGATGTCTTTACATACGTATATATTAAAATCTGCTATCGAAACAAAGGTTTGATTTTAGTTTCTCTTTTCTGTATTTATATTAAAATTTCTTTATGTTTAGAAAAGAAAATCAATACCAATGACAGACACAAGTAATCAGCAAATTGATTCATCATTATCATCAAATGATAGTAATAATAATAATAATAATAATAATAATAGTATAGAAATTCCATCGACAACACTTTCTAATCGTCGATCACAACGACGACGAACAGTAAGATTGAAAAAGAATATTAAATTTATTTTCTTACGTTTAATTCTCCTTTTATACAACAGAATGCTCAATCACAAATGCGAAGTAGTTCATTAACAACAACTATATTAAAAGAAAATGGTTGTACGAATGAATGTTCATTAGAAACAACAAAAGAAAATGATAATCAAAAACAAGAAAAATGTTCTACACCTGTATATATAGATAAACTTGTATTTAAAACATCAAAATTAAATCCAAAATCATCTTATTGGACAGTAACTGATCGACAAGCTGAATGGTATAAACTTACTATACCAGTCAATCAATCAACAAATAATAATAGTAATAATACAAAAGAATCATCATTAACAGCATCTTATCGATTATTACCAAATATATTAGAACGAAAAAAATCAAATT